TTGTATATCCCGTAATTTCTGTGATTGTGAACCAAAATCAGGCTAAATGGATATTGGCATAATCTCCTCTGAGATATTAAGAGATAGGGCTTATCTTTTGATTTGGGCTTATCTTTTGATTTGGCAGACAGTTGTCAAGTAAGTCGTGACAAGCTTCATTTTCATCGAGCTCTATCTTCTTGCAAGCTTTAGATTGCAACAAACTTTATGTTGAACGAACTACAAAATCTCCGAGTTTACAGTGAATTCACGAACAACATATATATATATATATAGCATTAAGCGAGGAAATCGAATTTGTTGCTAAAAGTGTTTATATAGTTTTTTTAATTAAACTTTAATAATGTTTTGCCACAATGAAATTTTTGTCATTAAAATTGACTTTTGGCGACGAAAAATTTGTTTGTTGCCGAACTATTCTTCTAGGAAATTTTGTTTTCTTATAGTGAAAGGNTTGTTTTCCCCCATGGGCTATTTCCCTGGTCACTTTTTGGGATTAGTTTATTCATGGGTTTCGTGCTCACGGGTAGCATGTGCCCTTTCTCGTCGGGATGACGATCACTTTTGGTCGCTGATAAGCCGGATTGGCTGCCAACTAGCATATTCTCCCCACTTGGGGTAGGCTTGGTGAAGACCAGTTGATCAAGACCTAGGTTGACCTGTTGCTCTTTCCTTAACCCCGCCACATCCTATTGCATTACCTGCACAACATTAGTCAGTGAAATTATTGTGTCTATTAACCAACTGCCTTCTAGGTCGGAAGTTTCGACCCTTGACTGATTGACAACCTGCAACAACGACACATGTGGTAGGTGACCTTAAGTAGCGATCTGATTCACTTCCTGGTGAGTGGTGTCCACTTTATCGTGGCTTCTGGTGGCTGCTCTAAATGCTCTTGTACGGACCATAAGGAATTTCAAGTGATCAGATATGTTATCGAATTGTTTTTTGCTAGGAATAGGAGAGCTTGTCAGGGGCCTTCCTTCTAGCACCAAAATGTTGATCTCAAAAAAATATACCAACTTGAGTGATCCGATTGATCGTGATGGAATCTAAATAGATGTGCTTGTTATTAATTAAAATCAGCTAAGAATTCAAGCCAAATGAAAGAAAGTAAAAAATGACACAAGGAAGTTTTAAAGTGGTTCAATGAGTTGTTCCTCAAGCCTACAACCACTGTTTTATATTGTTTTTCTTTGATTGAACACATAATACAATCTCTGTGCTCCCTAATCTTTGTCCAATCAATTACATTGTTTTTTGGAGGTATTTATATAAGAATTTCTACAAAAGTCAGTGAAATAAATTCGGGATAGCGATCATATTTGTTGTATATCCCGTAATTTCTGTGATTGTGAACCAAAATCGAGCTAAATGGATATTGGCATAATCTCCTCTGAGATATTAAGAGATAGGGCTTATCTTTTGATTTGGGCTTATCTTTTGATTTGGCAAACAGTTGTCAAGTAAGTCGTGACAAGCTTCGTTTTCATCGAGCTCTATCTTCTTGCAAGCTTTAGATTGCAACGAACTTTATGTTGTACGAACTACAAAATCTCCGAGTTTACAGTGAATTCACGAACAACATATATATATATATATAGCATTAAGCGAGGAAATCGAATTTGTTGCTAAAAGTGTTTATATAGTTTTTTTAATTAAACTTTAATAATGTTTTGCCACAATGAAATTTTTATCATTAAAAGTGACTTTTGGCGACGAAAAATTTGTTTGTTGCCGAACTATTCTTCTAGGAAATTTTGTTTTCTTATAGTGAAAGGCGGACACATGGATGAATAATTTTCAACGATTTTACTCTCTATAACTATTATATGAAAAGAAATTAAAGAATGTTGAAACTCGTGAAACAAGTAAAATAATAAATTGATGCCGATTTTTTGCACCAACAAGAGGTACGTAAACTCCTTGATGAAATCTACGTAAGGGTTTGTAGTAAACCAGTATTATGAAGCTCAAACAATATGAAAGTAATTGGTGAATATAATGAACAAAAAATTTTTAAAGTTGTTTGAATGCAATTAGTGCAAATCCTACTTCCACTATTATTTTATTAGTGCTTTTGTTTTTTACATACAAGCAAGCTTTGTTCTTAGCACTAGTGAGGTGGTTTTTAATAGCAAGAAATATAGTGTCCAAAAGATCTCCCATTGGGGTGAGAAATCCCCTTATATACTGTTATATTGGTAAACTTACACATGAAGTAATCTTCACATAGAGTGATACGCAAACTAACTAACAGCTCAGCCTAAGACATAACAATGAACCCTTGGCATACTTATAGATGAAGTAACCCACTCATAGAATGATGCACGGCCGGGATGACAACACAATATTGGGACACGTGGCACGAATCCATGCTGCATGGATTTACCTTAGAACATCAACTAAGACGATAGCTTAACATTTTTCATTGATCTAGATAAAGATCTATAGCAAAGACGAGGAACAAAAATCTCAATTATATCATGTTTATATTAGTTATGTATGTATATAATCAATCAAATCCGAATAATTTCTAATTATATTAAATCATTACTGACATGAAGAATCAATGGAATAAATAAAAAGAATAAAAGAATAAACCTAATCTATTTTAACACCTAAAAAGAGATGAAAGCACATCAAAATGATGAGAAGAGACACTACCAAGTTAAGAAAATCCTCAAGGCAAATCCAGGGAAGGAATGGAATTCCATCCTAGAATAGTAAAAGAATCCAAGTTTAAGGGCAGATCCTCAAATGGGTATTGAAGTAAATATAATCTTTAGCGTAGCATTATTGTTAGAGTGAAGTTAGAATAAGGTAAACTAGCTAAAGCATATGCTATTCTATAAGTTAGCTTTATCTAAAGAAATACTTTTTAGGTTTAGCAAATGTTCCACTTTGAATTTGGATATATATTATTTTGGTTGCTCTTCTTTTGTCCTCATAATAATATTTGATTCTTTGTGATCTTTTGTTAGGTACCCTTTATTATCCTATGACTCTTTATAGATACTCCAAGATCCTTTATGGTCTAACTTTATTTTTTAATAGATCAGAAATTCAGAAAAAAGAATATCGAAGATAAAAATTAAATATTTGTTCGATACCATTATAACGAGATTATGAAGACTAAAAAGAATAATTTGCATATGGTTGTGAGAGTAATTGGTGATGATGTTGGATATTTGAGATCAAATCCTTCATTAAAATATTATTTGATGCCCTTTTAGTTAGGCTTATGATCTATTAGTTAAAAAAGTTTATGAAGCTCTTTCAAAAAAAAAAATTGTGTTATTTGGTTACAACGAAAAACTTACAGCTAATCATATAAATTGTTTTACGTCTATTTAGATCAATTCTTTTATATAAAAATTCTTTCTAATAATGTAAATCTAAATGAAACTTTTACCTTTTCCTAATCAAACTAAACAGGTTTTTTTTATCCTCGTAAAAAGCTCTATTTTTATATGACCTGTTATATGAACTCGATTTTCTGAAGTTCTAGTAGAATAAGCTTTACCAAATGGAGCCTGACGGATCCCGCTGCGTTGGCTGAGACTTAGAAAACAAAAAAGATGAGAGGTTTGAGAGAAAAATAGTAAAAAGCGAAGTTCAAGGCTGAATAATTGAAGAATGAAAAAAAAAAAAACAAACAAGAGTCATCAGAATCGACAGTATGAGTCAAAACAAAAGTCACTTCTCAGCGCCTGTAAAACACCCACTAAACAATTGGGAAAAAACAAACCCACCGTGTTGACCCAACCCTTTCCTTTCACATTATTAAATTATTACATTTTATTTACAAAAGATAAAAAAAAGGATTGAAACTTGAGTTACTATTGAATCCTACAATCTTTAAAATACAAAAAATAATGATTTTAAGACCATGGTGTTCTTGAGAGAACTCAAACCTTATGGGAATAAACCATATACTTGATTATTATGTTAATCCGTCATGATTTAATGATTGAATTTTATTAAACGAGGATAATATAAAATATCGATGTTACCCTAGATGTTTTTTTTGAAACTTAAAACCCAAACCCTATTTAAATAATATTTCCTTTCCGTTTTGGGGCATTTTGTTATGTTAAATATGTTGAGGTTTTTGTATGAGCATTCACATTCACATATAAAGAATCAAAGACATTTCAAAGCGAAAAAATAAACTCCCCGGAAATCAAGGAGCTTTTGAGATAGGTGAGGCTGCTCAAGGGACACATATCAAATATCCCCACAACAATTTTAATAATTAAAAAAGCATCCCCAAAAGACATAATTAATACTTATTAGTTATTACTGCTAGACAATATAAAAATTATATTATTTTATGCATGACACGTTACTTTAAACGAATGTATAAGCAAGTTTTTTTTTTTTTTTTTTTTTTTTTTTCCTATGATCCGGATATTTGGATTAGGCTATATACACTACAACCAATTTTATGAAACCTTGAAATTATCAGTTGAATAAGAGTTTTAATGAACACCTCTATTTAATAATTAAGACGAATCGAACTCGAAACCTCATAAGTAATAACATTAAAGAGTCTTAATTGATCACTTGCAAGTTGTTTGTATAAGCAAGTTATCCTTCTCATTTTGGAACAATAATAATTATTAAATTGATATTTTCTATGTAAATATTTGGTATTTTTTAAAACTCAATTAGTAAAATTGTTTAGCAACACATCTAACGGAAGTCGTATTTTTTTTTTAAAACTACATTTTTGGTTTGTCTCAAAATGATGTATGCAAATGGGTTTCCTTTTTTTTAGCCTTATTGTGAAGGAAATGCGATATTTTGGATAATTTTCTTAGTGTTTATGGTCATTTGAGAGGGAAACGACATTTTTTTAAAGAATGTAAACAAGAAAAAAGAGAGAATACAAAAATATGACAAAAATAATTGAGTTTTTTTTTTTTTTTTCTTCTCTCAATTTCTTTTGCTTTTTTCATATATTTTTTTCCTTACAAACAAAGCAAATAATAAAATACTAATAATAATAACACTAAAATAAACACAAACAAATATCCTCCTATACAAACTCTCTAAATCTATGTTCCCTTTCAAGTCCCTTTGGACCAAAATAACATCTTACATCTCAAACTTCTTCACATTAATCTAGATTCACAAATTAAAAATTAAAATAAAAAAATTACTAAAATAAATGCAACTAGCTAGGAATGTCTCTCCTCAGATGAATCACTCCCATGAAAATATTTTTTTTTTTTAAAGCATCACAATTCAACTTCAACTTCCAAATCTGCAATAAGAAACCCAACAATATCTCTACCATCTCCTCCAAATCAAACCCATGTCAAATATTTCAATATTTTTAATCAAATTAAGAGCATTTACTAACCCAACTTAAAATAATTTTCTTCACTGAGAACTATTTGGATCCTCATCTCCACTGTCATCAGTCCCCTGAGGCTGATGCTGGTGTTCATGATGCTGGTGATGGTGTTGATGCTCCATTGGATTGTTTTGCTCAGAATTCATGTTTAAATTCCCTCTTGAGTATGCATTTAGAGCTGCCAACATTCCCAAATTTGACTCCGACATTCCAAGACCTAGATGTTGAGATGGTTGTTGCTGTTGTTGTTGTTGAATTAGCATTGAATTCAATTGTAATGGGCTTCCTCTTCCGCTTTGGAACTCGAGATTCCCCGGAAAATTGAATCTTGGCATGAAATGTAGAGGCGCTTGAAGGGTTGGGCTCTGAGTTATTGGTGCTGCTGCTGTTGATGATTGAAATGGCCACATCTGAGGCTGTTGGTTCTGCTGTTGTTGTTCGGATGGTCCAGCTCCGGACACGCTTGTCCCGCCACCCCCGGCTGTCATCGGTAGCATCCAGAATGTGCTTCCGGCTGCAGTGGTGGGAGCTGGAGTCACTGCCCACATGGCTGTGGCGGGTAAAATATTCGATGAACGAAGCAAAGTATTTGAAAGTTCTCCTTGTTGTTGTTGTTTTGGTAATTGCAAACCACTTCCACTTTTAAAGGCTTTGTTAATTGAAGATGATTCTCCTCCTCCGCCACCTCCGCCTCCTCCTCCTCCTCCTACTCCAGCACTCTCACTTTGTGATTGATTATCTTCTTTAAACAAATCCTCCCTAAATCGCTTCCTCATGTAATTCTCAGCACTAGAGTCTCCTCCGCCTCCGCCTCCAGACCCTTCTCCAGCTGGAAGCGCTTCCGCTATCTGATCAGCCGTCATCAGATGGTGCTGCTGCTGGTGTTGCTGATGATAAAACCTAGTACGCGCGTATGCGGAAACCCTTCTTCATAGTGAGGATGATGACCAAAGCTAAAGCGCCATGAAAAATGAGGAGCAGACTTTGAAGGGAGCTGAAAGAGTAGATCCACTACTCCTCAAAGAAACATTCAAAGTCGAAAAATTTGCCGAATTGGTGCCCGTTCCAGTGGCTGCAATTATCGCAGGCTCAGCTTGCTGCAGTAACCACTCTATGTTTTCACCGTCAGATTTGTGTCCCAGCTCACGAGTCAACTGAAAAACCCTCGCTGCACATGTCGCCGGCATTCTTATCCGCCTCCTCGCCCGTCTATTTTCGTGTGCCGGTCTTTTGTCGACCGTTTCACAGGTGGGTTCGTCGTGGTTAGGCAGCAGCTGCAGAAGTAGCTGTTGTGGTGGTGGTGGTAGTTATGGTTAAATTTTGTTCTTTTTGGAGGAATCGTTGAGGGGAGTAGATCTAGTGGCGTGGCGAGGGAGGCGTCAACGGAGGAGGACGATGAAGAGAGGAAGAAGAGGGAGGGGAGCTGAGACAGAAATCCAGCTTGGATGGAGATGGAGCCCATGAAGGAGCTGATCTGGTGGTGGTGCCATCAAAGAAGGGACCACAAGCTGAGGAGAAGAAGAAGAACTGTTGTTGTTGAAGGTGTGGTGGGGGTGGTGGTGAAGATGAGGATGGTGGGGTTCTGAAGAAGAAGAAAATTATTGTTGTTGGGTTGCTTATTGCTGGTGGTTTGTTGCAAATCTTAAGTTCCATTTGGTGGGGTGTGGGCTAGCTAAGCTAACTTCGGGGACTTTCTATCTTAATTTTAAAATTATTAAACCCCAAATAAAATAAAATAAAAATATTCACTTATTTTATTTTTCATAGAAAAAATAAAAACAATTTTTCTTTCTTGTTGTGGAAACAGAGGGAAGAAAGAGTGAGAGTATTATGTGGGTTGTTTGGTTGTGATTCTGTTGTCTTTGGAAAAAAATAAAGAGAGAGAAGGTGATGCTGATGAGGTGGCTGGTTTGGGTCTGTTTTGTTTGATTTGGTTGAAGAAACAGAAGCAGAGGAAGCAGAAGGAAGCAGAGGGAGGCAGGTGGGGGACCTCGGGAGAAAAAAGGGTTTACGCAAGAGTCCACTCGTGGGTCTCTGTAAAGGAATGTTAAAATTGGCCTTGTTATTGTTACCAACACCCATCTTCGTTTCTTCGCTCGTGTTTTTTTGCTACGTTGCATCTATTTATCCAAACATCCTGTACTAATCTGTAATATATACCCTAATACTCAACTGTCAAAGATGTTTGCTTTTTTAATTCATGTATCTCTAATCTATACAAATATGTTCACGAAAGAATTAGGATGCGTTTGTTTATTTTTTATGGTTTTAGAATATGTGATATTTAGTATATTACGAGATAAAATTTTAAAATTTAAAAAAAAAAAACCCACTAGGTTTGCTAATTTGATAAACACCCAATATATTAAAATATTTAAAATGATAAAAACCCCCCTACACCGCAGTGCCTGATTCCGGCATCACCACTGGAATCAGTGAAATTTTTTAAGGACACATACTGTGTCTGGTTATTCGATCGATATGACCTTTTCTCGGTCAGATCCACCACGGATATGACCAAAAAATGGCCGGATGTGGCCATCGAGCCGAAAAATTCCATTTTCCGTCATTGTCTTCAACGATGGCCAAGATTTGCATCATTGTCGCATCGTTGACAGTCAAGACGACACGACGGCCAGACTGCCTTTTCTGGCCAGATCCACTGTGGATTAGATCTGCCGGCCTTTTCGGTGGTGGTGTGACTATTGTGAGAGATTCGCTACCACGCGGTGGTTGCCGATCTGGCAAGTATTGGTGTGGTTTTTTGTAGTTTTTAAACCTTTTTTTTCTGGAGGTATTTAATGAAATAATAAACTAAGGGGTTTAAAATATTAAAAAAATAGACTAATATTTCTAGATAATGTCAAACAATATTTGGAGAATAGTTTGAGAATATGGTAGAAATAATAAGCTAAACGCACACTAGATTCTCTCTGGATACAGAATTTCTCAATTTTTGACACATCTTTAAGACACATGTGCTTTAACATGCATTCATTTTATTACTAGCTATCGGCAAGTTTGTATTTTGTAACTCCAAGGGGTTGATTTGACGATAAAAATGTTTCTTCTCTTCATTACTTCCTAGGTTAATCATCTTTGGTATCTACCACTTAGTTTATCTTGAAATATTAAACTTATAGAGTATTTTAAGAAAAATTTGATGAATTTGATGTATTATGCATTTTTATGTTTTCTTTTATATATTTAACGGATTATCATAGGGGAATGGTATAACTATACACTTGCCACAACATAACTTATGCATCCATTAGTAGTTAATAAAATTCAGAAGTAAATGGATAGGAGAATGATATTTGTGATGGTAATTAATAACAAGAAAACATTGCAATCACTCATTAATTTGTGATGCTTTGCCTCAATAATGCATCCATTCATGATTAATTATTAGATTATCTTGTAATTAAGCTTAAAAGGTATTAGTAAATGAGATTAGGACAAAATTAATTAATAAAAAAATTTGAAGTAATTGAGATAAGACTTGGAGGGGTTAGTGTCAAGATGGTAAATAAGTAAATGTCGAAGTCCAGGCAGCAGACAGCACAGGTGAGCTCAGATTAAGCATCTAATGCGGTAGGACAGCTAACCCAACCCAACCCCACATTTGTTTTTTATTATCTTTTATTTTCCTTTTTTATAGTCTTTTCTTTTGGCTTGTGGTCAATTTGGGCACCCCCCCTTTTCATTAGCGTCTTTTGTTAAGAAATGGCCTTTTACTTGATTATATATTTGATGAAGAAAATATTTGCCATTTTACTTTTTTTTTTTTTTTTTTAGTCAAGGTTTTGATAATACATTCTAGCGAGTTTTAATGACAAGGAATTTTATTGCGTTTTTTGAAGAATAATTTTTAAAATGTGTCAAATAATTTAATTTGAAGTTAGAAGAGTAGTTATTTTATTTATTATTATTATTATTACTATTATTAAATTTATATCAAAACTATAGTATTTCAATGGTACATAATCTAATATATAACTGAGAAATTTTTTTAGATTAATACAATTCATTAATTGTTGTGCAAATGATATAATAGTTATGATATTATAATTTTCTGCTTACAAAAATATAAAGATGTATTTCTTTATTAATTATATTATTACTAATTAGGATCAATCCGTCTTATCTCATTATTAACTAAACCAGAGGTTACCACTTTGATTAAGTTTAATTAATTTAATTACCTAGAATTTTATTTTTATTCATGATATTAAATTGCATACCAATTAAGTTAATTAATTTCTAATTTCTTAAAAGAAAATTTTAAGATTTTTGATTTTTGGAAATGGTTGGTAAAGTGCAATTTGTCCTATCATTAATAAGGTGGGTCAAAACGAAAAAATTGGGGGAAGTGCTCAAATCAATTTTAACTTTCCAAATATTTCAAACCAAAAAATAAAAATATTAAACAACACAATCAGCCAGGTGGATCCATCTGGACCCACTTTTTCTATCTTAAAACAAATCAATTTGAATGGATAATCATCTAATCTTACTTAATTAATCTGATTAACACCTTCATCCATATCATCTTTTTTATTAAAAAATAAAATAAAAATAAAAATACTCTATCTACCAACCCTCACTCCCCTTCTTTCTTATTTTTTATAATCTCTAACTAAACAAATTGCTAAAATATTAAAATCCGAATATATATATGTATGGAGAAACTTTTTATAGTATATTTATACAATTGTTTGCCAAAAATATAATATTTTGTAAAAATAACAAATTGTCTTATATTACAAGTACGGCATTCCATATTAATGAATTGATCTTCCCTACATTAAAATTACATGAACATTGCTTTTCTCAACATAAGAAAAAATTGATTTTTTTTTTAACATAAAAATGACCTAAGATTTATAAATTATTAGGAATCTATGTCAAAATAGCTTACATGATACTAATTAAAAGTTCATAAGATACCCACCAATGTACCAACAATAAGGGCAAACCAATGGGGTACAAAAGATCTAAACCCACAGTCTCATGTTCGCTTACCCATGGGTGCAAAGGTAATATTTTTCCCATAATTTACTAAGATGCGGTAGTGGGTTTTTGTGGAAAGCAATCCTTAGAAATTCAACTAATCTCTCGCGATTCTAAAATATCGTCGATAGAACTCTAATATATTAGCAATCAAAGAGTGACTCAACTAAAACTTGTTGTGTAATTACTCAAGACCCCTATCGAACTACTCAATCGCCCATGAGTTAGTTATTTATACTATATTATTATTAGACATATAAACATATCTATTTTACTAGATGTCTATCTCACTCAAATTCATATACATCCTAATATCCTATCAATATAGAGCACAAAGTGTGTGAACTACGTATGCCATACATTAATGTGTCACTTTTCATTACTAGGATCCATGTGTAAAACAAGAGGCTCGACATCTATACCGTCTGATTTTGATTTACTAAATTTTAGAAACAAATATCTGTTAAAAAAGACAACGGGTAGAAAAGTAAATTCACATACAAGACGAGTGCGAGCAAGAGGCAGAAGAGTGACAGTGGGAATTACTGTTCATATCATACTCTCTTTGTTTGGTTCTCCATATGAAAGAGATTCTTGATTGAGACTTGTTTTTCTTTTTCCTCTTCACCCTATTCCAACTAACAAATTTAATTTTAATTTACATCACATTCCAAATGATGGTGTCACAGGACTGTCAGAGATTTTCAGCCCCACATGGAGGACTTGACTCATTAAATAAATAAATAAAATAATAGTAATAGGCCTCTTAATTAGTGATCTGTCTGCCTTTCAAACTCCTAAATTTGTGCACTCACTGTCAATTTAAATTAATCTTTTTTACCCTCCATTCTTCATCAATCTTGATCTTCATTTCTTTCTGTTCCCATTAACTTTCCTCTCTTTGTCTCTCTCTCTTTTTACTTTCTCGCCTACCTCTCTTTGTGAAGCCAGTTCTTTTTGGGGAAGTATTGTGGTCATTTCATGTAAAACAATTTTTTTTTTTTTAATTTTATCTATTTGTTTTGTCTATAAACAAACAAAATACCCACTTATTTAATTTCATATATTGAGTATTATATCACAGGGTTTTGGATTTTACCATGTTATATAAAAAAAATAAGGGTATGGAATACCCTTTACTTCCATAAGGTAATTCAAAGACCCATATATTAAAAAAAAAAAATGAAAAATATCTGAAACGATGAATGAGAATTATTTAAGATAATACTTTGGTATAAGGATGGTACTAATATGTGTACTAACTAAAGCTAGTACCGTACTATGCACCATTAGTACTATATGTACTAACTAAATAGTACCGTACTATTGCATAGTACGGTACTATGCTTTAGTATACACTATTAGTACTCATCCATTAGTACCATACATCACTCTAAGTTAAACGCATTTAAGAGGACTATGTTGAGATGTAACTTACAAGATCAACAA